GCTGGCACTCCAACCTGCATCCCATTCCTAACAGTCTCTGCCCTCATTTGCCCCTGTCTAAAGTGAGCCCAGTTCCCACCTGTGCCTGGTTAGAGCCAGGCATCAACTCCACTCTGTCAGTAGGACGTAAGGGCTTCTTTGTTCTCGAGTTTTGTTGTGACTCCAGGACCTACCTCCATGAATGGTGGGAACATCAGAGATGATGCAGTGGTCTTGGCACATAATCTTGGTACCTGCCTTCCAGGCAGCAATTCCCTGCAACATCAGACACACCACAGAGGTGTCCTGGGACTTCAGAGTCTCCTTTAGCTTATGCCATGGATGAAATGCTTTCTGCCTTCCCTCCTCACCATATTATTTCCTTCCTTATACACCCAGTTTACATTAGAGGCTGGTTCTGCAGTCCCTATGTTGGTGTTTGTCAGTCTGTAATCACACATTTGCATGTGTAACTACTATTTGACTTCCTGCTCGCTAGCAAACAGGCAGCCCCATGAAGGCAGGTTTGTTCACCATTATGCCCCAGCACAGGGCCAGGGTAGACAAATACTAAACAACAGCCCCTGGCTGTGACTGGCAATATAGTCAAGGGCTGTTGAACACCTTAGTTTTAGTCTTGAGAGTGCTGGTGAGTCCTGAATCTGGGGGAAAGATAGATTGATTCCGTGGGTCTGGAGGCTAAGGTGCTGTGCCTCAGTGGCTCTGAGGGTTTCTGATGCTGCCAGAACGTCTTCCAGGAGCAGATACTAAGTTTCTAAAACCCTGTGTGGACCCAGCAGGCTCCGACTTCCTGGATCTGACTTCTTGGTCTGACAGGTTCCTGGCTCATTCAGGATTCCTAGGTCTGGCCTTGTTGTATTGTCCTGTTGTAATTTTTAACCTAATCAGGATCTCACAGCAGTTTCAGTATTGTGCTGTGTTTTCTCACTCACATTTTACAGTCTTCTGCAAGTCTTTAAACCCTTTTCAAAATATCACTTCTGTTGGTTTCATCATATTTCTGTCTGTGAGTGTGTTGTTATTTGTCTGTTTGATGTTCTCTTACTGCTTCCATTTTTAATACTGTATTTTGATAAGCATTTTCCGTGGAAATTTCTGTCCATGCTTCTGATGACTATGGATTGTTCTTACTTACCAGGCCTGTGCAGGAGTGGGCCCTTCTGTGGCAGGGCGAGTGGGGTAGACCTTGCAGGCCCTGTTGGTGGGTATTATGCAGGGGTGAGGTGAGGATCCTAACCCAGGCAGCCCTTTTAGGTTCCTTCCCTTCCCTTAGTTACTCTGCCTTCTCTGGTGTGTCTTTGAGGGGTTCCCAAAGGCCAGGTGTTCCACTGTGGGACAGCCAGGGTCAGAGCGCACTTGCGAGTCTCCTTCCACTGTGTACCTGCAGCATATCACCTATCTTCCCTGCCCTGTGGTATTGTTCTTCCTTCTTATCCTGCATGTTCCTTGAGGTACCCAGCAGCAGAGGGCATTCCAACAAGTTTTTTTTTACCTTCTGTTCTTCCTAGGACCAGCAATAACAAGGGGATAAAATTCATTCCCATGTCAGGGAGAGCCTGTGGAGTGGTCCCCACCCTCTGTAGCCATAAAGAAAGCAGCACCTCAGCCTGCAAGGAATAGGGTGGACCTCCTGGCAGACAGGCCCTGGTAACCAATGCCCTAGCGCAGAAGTGAATGGCCGTGCCTGGGCTTCACAGGTGTAGGCTGCTGAGGTCTGAGGCACGGCAGCTGTGCAGGCTTCTTCCTGGAGAGGCAAGCTGTGGAGGCTGGGAGCCTGAGACCCACCAGCAGAGCTGGCTCTAGGGGGCTGAGGGAAGTGGCCCTGTACTGTGATGATCTGTATCCCATGTGGCCTCACAGAGTGGAGTCCCCAACCCACTGCTTTCCTCATGGGTCTTACTACCTTGTAACACACTGTGATTTATTTTCTTTTTTGCTGATGACTATTTTCTTTAGGATGCAGATTTCACGAAAGCAGGCGCTGCTTCTTCATGGCTGTCTTACATTCGCAAGTGTATGGGACAGCATCTATATATAGAGGTACCTCAGTATTCCCTGGATGGAGGAAAGCGGGGTCATGCCATATGTAATTGATTCATTCATTTATTCCATACATGTTTTTGAGTGCCTATGAGACACTGAACTCTGTGGGGGATAAAATAGAGACTACAGTTTTCTTTCAGGGCACAAAAGCCCAGCATGGGAAGAAAGTGGTTCAGTGAAGTTCCTTCTTATGGTTTGAAAGGAACAAGTTCAAGTAAAGAGATGTGTGTCACTCAAAGGGTACTTCTGAGACAGGGTCCTGGTATCCTATGCTCTGAAACAGTGTCCTGGTACCCTAAACTCTGGTGATTTGGTGGTTCCTGGGTCACTCTTGTGAACAGTGTTTCTGACATTCTCTCCCTAGAATATGTTCTGCTAACAAAAAAAAAAAAAAAAAAAAGGTGTAACCAGCACTGCAAAATAGAACTTTAAAAGTGAGATTTTGTTTTCTTATAGAGACAAGCTGAGCGTGTTACCTACATTTCCTCCCCCACAACTTAAAAGCAGTGGCAGAATACACAGATGCCAGCACTAAGAAGCTGATGCCCAGGTTTCTTTCTTTTGAACCATCAATTTAGCTCCCTATTCCTTTCTGTAGTCCTCATTATGCAATACCATGCAGTACCATGAAGGCCTGTATAAGAAATTTTACCCCACTTGTGTGATTTTTGACAAAACTCTTGACAAGAAAGTGTTATAATAGTATATCAGCCCTTTTTCCATTTGAGTATCCTAGTGGTAGTCTGTCCAGCCAGAGAGCTCTTAAATGGTACTGGAATCCTGCTGCTCATTTCAGAAATAAAAGCAGTTATAAACAAAAAAAGATAAAAGAAACTGAACCATATCAAATCAAAGCCAACTGAAACAAATGATTCCTCCAAACCAACAAAATGCCTGGGAAGGTTTCTACCTCTGAGTCTCTTCTCACACCAGTCAGTGCCCCAAAATGACCTGCAGTATATTCATAATGGCCCCAAATGGTGAAGGTCCTCACCTCACACAAATGGTACTGCTGACTGACCTAAGAGAACATCCAAACTATGGAGACAGTAGATCCCTGGGGTGCACTTTCGAGCGGGAAGCCAAGCAGAGCCCATCAGCTCTTCAAACAACCTTTTTCCTTTTGCCATCAGAGGTGTTTACAGGCAGCTATGCTACAAACAGGAAAGACGGGACAGTTCCTAGGGTGCAAAGGTGTTCCTGACTGGAATGTCCCTGGAGTCCCAGCCATGAATTCAGCAAGCATGAATAGTCAAGTCCTTTTCCCAAGAGCCTATCATCTACCCAGTAGGGACCGGGAGACCCACAGTGCTCCAGAGCCAGTACTGGGCTTACCTCCTGGCTGGCTTTGTCAGAACTGTTACCAGCCACTTGGTTTGTACACTCAGGCTCGTCTGCCCCTCCCTTGCCCAATCAAAGGAGGTTGTGTCCTTTAGTAAAAGCAGGAAAGGGGTTTATTCAGAGCCAGTTCTGAGGAGATAAGGGAGCCTGTTTGTCTCTCCTCACCCTCTCACCACATACAGGTGAGTTGGGCCTTTGTATAAGGAGCAGTAAGGGGCAGAGAGCACAGAGGCGATGCCAACCTCCATGCCAGCTTGGATTCCTGTCCTGTGAAGAGGAGCCTGGGCCCTGCACTCCTGGCGCTCATATCCACGTACAGATATTCCTCATTTAATCCTTGAGCTCAGTTCCTGCAACAAGGTCACTAAGTGAACTGGTCCTAGATGAGTTGTATACAGTGTGTATATTATAATACTCAGAACAAAGACATGATGGAAAGAACTTCCAACTTGATGACACCACTTCTATTTACATAACTCTTATATGCAGAACAGTAGTGTGTAACAGAACATAGAACTACAGTACTGTACCATACAATCAGCAGAAATTACAGAACTGTTTACAGAAGGTATAGTATACAAAAATGGCACTGTGGCTCTATCAGCAAGATGTACAGAACTATACAGAAAACATGGGTCCTAAGTCTGAGAGGCAGTCATAAGTCCAACAGTTGTTAAACAGGTAGCTCATTAAATGAGGAATATCTCTACTCTGTCACTTCTTTTAGACTGAGGGGAGAAAGTGTGGGTTATATGTTGAGCAAGAGGAAGGTAAACTGCTATCTGTACAAGGAAAAAAAATCTAACTTTTATAGTTCTGCTCTGCAGTGCCAGTTATGGAAGGGTGTGGTGGGAAGAAGCCCCCGGATGCTCTCAGTGTGCCTGTCTACTACACAGTGTTGCAGGCTTTGTGGCCCAGCAGCCCCGCACCATCACCACACACACATACCTGTGCACACGCACACGCATGCATGGTCAGAAGCAAAAGCTCATCAGTCGCAGTGAGTCACTACACTTCCTTCTTGGGTAATGTGGAAACAAAGGCTTTTTCAAGAAAACACCTGATACCTTCAGGCAGCTGCTGGGTACAGTCGAGGTCAGTTGGTCTGGTTTCTTATTCACCATTTATTAAGCATTGTTTGAAACATTGCGCCCTTGTTTTCTGCCAGCACGAGGGCTGCTGTGTGGCTCCAGAGTGCTGGAGGTTATGGCAAGTAAATGCACTTGGGGCAGGGCTGGTGGGACTCAGAGCCTGTAGGGGACATGGACCTATTTCAGGAGTTTGTGCAGAATCTCATCTTGTCATTTTGTTTTGTGACATCCTCAGTGTCAACTTAATAAAGTTCTAGAATTTTAGTGTAAAGCTGGTTGGTAGGTTCAGTTCATTCAGTGATTTGCTGTGAGCACCTACTGTATGCTGGCACTTAGTGATGATTTAGGGCAGTCCTGCCACTTACAGTATGGGTTAAAATGTTTAAATTTGTGGCTGCTTGGGGTTTGAGAAGTGACCCAGGCCCTAGGAAGATTTTGACTAGTAAAGACAGCCCACTAATCCTGGCTCTTCAAGAATGCTTTGCTAGCCATGTGACAGGGAATACAGATTGTATCCCATCTTTTTGGGCACCTTGGAAACCAGGAGCTAAATAACCTTTCTGAAGTTATGGTGCATCTACAAATTGGGATATCTTCCCCATAGCACCATGGTGGCCAATAAAGGAATGTTTTCACAGTATACCAAGTCAGTGAGAAAAGTATGGTGTCCACTCTGTGGACAGTTTGCTGCTACTTTTTAGAGAAGATGGAAGCATTACCTGTATTTGCCTTTGTATGCTTAAAATACCCTTTGAAGGGCACAGAAAAACTGAAATTGTTGGTTTTCCATGGCCCCTAGCTGGCTGGGAGAAGTTGCTGAATATCTTTTGAATTTTCAGCTATGAGGTTATATCCCTATTTACATGATACAGATGACCACCCACTGTGCAGTCCTCATTTTGAAGAGTGTGTTAGAGAAGCCTGAAGGAGCACCCGTGGCCACATGATTGCTGTTGGTGGGAGTATACAGAGTTGCCTCAGTCAGGCACCTGGAACCTTCTGGAACCTGGGGAGGAGAAGGCACCCAGTAAGTGCACTCCACTTGGCCATCTTTGGGTATGTAGGCAGCACTTCAGGTAACACCAGATACTGGGCCTCAAGATTTTCCTCTCTTTAGGGTATCTAGAGTGAAACCAGTTTCCCCCAAGCATGTGTAGTGAGTTTCTCTGACCAGTTCAAAAGCAAACACTGTCTTGACTTGGTGCACAGGAAAGAAAGAAGACTTTCTTTAAAAAGTGTTTTTAGGAAATGGCAAAGGATAATAAAAAGTCAGAAACTTGTGCCTTTTAAGCTTAATTCTGCTTTTCTATGAAACCCATCTTGAACAGGTTAGTAAGCTGAGAGGACAAGTTGGACACTGACAGAGTGAGCAGAGAGAGCAGGAGCTAGTCCTCTGGTTCTAAGTTTTCCACCTGAAAATTAGAGGTAGTGTATGTGTGTCTTGTGCCCCAGCTAGCTACTAGGAACAGTGAGGTGTGGACGTTTGGTGAGGGAGTCGCTGGGAAGGCCCCTGTCTTCCTCTGGCTCATTGAAAGGCCATAGAAGGGCCCAGGCTCCAAGTACCCTCCATGAATAGGGAGACAGCAGTGTGCAAGGACAGCACTGTTCCTAGTTCTCATTCCTGGGACCCAGATGAGGAAGGCAGAAGCATGGCTCAGCATGAAGGTGGTGCCTGCTTTATGCACAGACTCAGAAACAGGACCACACTTCCTATGGGGACAGTGTCCTAAGGGAGCTGCACCTTGTTCATCAAGAAGCTTTTCAGTAAACAGAAGCCAGTTTGAGATGAAGTCTGGGAACCATGGTTTTAGTGGTTAGAAGAATGTATATGCATTTGACAAAGAGCAGCCCCAGTTTGTGCTTTGGACAACACTGAGCCAGAATCAGGAAATAAAAGTCTTCAGCCTGTAATCCTTGTGCTGTGGCCTTGGGCCATCAGTACAGGCCCTGGGAAGGACACTGCAACCAAGAAGCTCATGACTTCATTGAGAACATGAAGACAGCTCTCCAGACCTGAATGCGCACCAGAATGGGCCTAGGTGTGCTGACAGTGAGACCCTTCCACAGTGAAGTGGATTCCAGAGCTGATTCAGGACCCAGGAATTCTTAGGCAAGCCAGAAGGATTTTGGATTTCTGTTTCTTTTAGACAAAAAATGGGTTTTATTTTTTTCTACAGCTATTAGTGCTCTGAAATGAATGTGCTTTTATGAAGAAAGGGTTTGGATACTCTCTTAGGTATCAAGGGAAAGAAAAGCTTCACATTTTTTATCTTTCAACCTAGAAAAGAAGAACTAAGGTAATAGTGATAAATCATCAGGGATAAACACTGAATGAAAATAAATTTATATTGCCAGGTCCTTGTGACCCCAAAAATATCATCCATGGAAGTTTTAGTTTCCGAATTGGAGAAGGACTAAGGAACTTGCAGTTTTGGGGTCAGGGTGGAGACAGGCATGTGAAGCAAGGCAAGTTGTACCTTGTTGGAGCATCTGCCCTCTCTCCTTACTGCTCAGAACTGTGGACCCATTCAAACTAGAAAAGCTGGTCCTACCAGCTAGATCAGATGAAGGCTCACATCCTGTGTCTCCTGTATAAAGCTCTGCAGTATTGAGGACCCCAAGTTCATTTTGCAGCTTTTACTTGATTATGTGCATACACAGGTATTTGCACCCACAGGCCCTTAGTTTTATGTCTGCCTGAAGCAGAAATCAGGGCCTGTATTTAGCCTGCCTCTGGGTCCCTTGTTTCTGCACTTGGCTCCATTCAGCCTTGCATTGGATGTTCTAAAAACAATATCAATCTTTGAGGTGAACACTATTTTTAAATAACAGCTCTATAAGCTATAATTAACATGAAATAAAAAAGTGTAAAATTCAGTGGTTTTTAGAGTATCACAAAATTAGTCATTAGCACTATTTAATTTTTTACTAAGTTTTTTGGTACAATTTAGGGAAATTGTAGGGAATTCATACATGATAGATCCTGGTTCCTCTTTTTTTTCCCATTCCTCTCCCCTCTCTTCAACCCCTCTTCTTCTCCTTACAAAGCTTTGTTTCCATTTTATCCTCCTTTTCTCATTTTTTTCTTTTCCCTTTCTTCCCCCCTCCCCAAGTTCCCCTTTCCTTTTGAACAATTTCTTCTTATCTCACAATATTTATTATACATTTTGGTCCTTGTTTACACTTTCAGTTTCTCACACCAGAGAGATAATGTGATATTTACATACATGTGTCTAGTTTATTTCACTTAAGAGTATGATCTTAAGGTCCATTCATTTAGCTATAAATGTCTCCACTTTATCCTTCTTTGAGGCTGAGTAGTACTCATTGCATTAAAAAAACACATCTTTTCTATCCATTTGATGGGTATTTGGGTTGTTTCCAAGATTTCGCTATTACAAACTGTGCTGTCGTAAATGTGGATGTGAGTATATCGCTGTAGTATGATGCTTTTAATTCTTTTGGGAAGATACTAAGAAGGGGAGTAGGTGGGACCTCTAGTTCTAGTTTTTTGAGGACTCTCCACACTGATTTCCACTGTAGTGGCACCAGTCTACACTCACACCAACAGTGGGAAAGGGTTCATTTTTCCTGACATCCCTGCTAGCATTTGTTACTGGTTGATTTGTTGATAATAGCCATTGTTTCTGGAGTGACATGGACTCTCAGCATTGTTTTAATTTGCATCTCTCAAATGACCAATGATGTACAGTTTTTCATATATTTATGTGCCATTTCTACTTCTTCATCTAAGAAGTGTATATTTATCTCAAATACCAATTTTTGGATTGGGTCTTTAAATTTGGGGAGGGTCTAATTTTTTTTAGTTCTTTGTATGTTCTGAATATTAGTCTGTTGTCTGAGGAACAACTGGCTTTCTATTCCAACTTTGTGGGTTGTCTTTTCACTACTTGGATTATTTCTTTTGCTGTGCAGAAGCTTATTAATAATATGAGATCCCAGTTGTTGATTCTTTGCATTATTTCCTGTGGAGTTCATTCATGAAGTCTTTGCCTATACCCATGTCTTCAAGAGTTCTACCTATTCTCTCTTCCAGTGGATTTAGTTTTTCTGTTTTAATATTTCTAGCTTTGCTCCATTTTGATTTTAGTTTGATACATGGTGATAGACCATCTAATTTTGTTTTTTTTTTAATTTATTTTAAAAATAAAAGAAGGAAAACATTAACAAACAGACCTCCATTTACAAAATAGCATAAGAACAATACAAACAATGCAGAGTTACAGACAAAGTGGTAGGAAATTAACAATGGTCGTATTACATATTGATATCTACAAAGTGGTTTCCCAGGAAGACAAATAGAGACATGCAGTATTGATCAAACAAGTAATCATTAATTGTTCCTATCAGTAAAGCAATAAAAGACAGTAGTAAAACTATGTTAGCTATCCTGTATATACATACATACATACATAATTTCCCCTTCTTTCCCTTCTCTTTCTCCACACCCCAGTTGCCCTCTACTTTTGAGCATTTTCCTTTCGTTTCACGATGACTATCATACCTCCTAGTTTTTATTTACTCTTTCAGGTTCTTACACTAGTAAGACAATACGTTACACATGCAGGTCTGATTTATTTCACTTGTGAGTATGGTCTCTAGTTGTGACCATTTACCTATAAAAGCCTCGAATTTATCTTTCTTTATAGCTGAGTAATATTCCATTCTATAAAAGTACCACAATTTTTTTATGCAATCCTAGGTGGATGGACATTTGGGTTGCTTCCACAATTTAGCAATTACAGATTGCACTGCTATGAACATGGGTGCACATATATCGTCTGTGATGTGATGTTTTTAGATCTTCTGGGAAAATACCCAGAAAGGGAATAGCTGGACTGAATGGGACCTCTAGACCTACTTTGCTGAGGAGTCTCCAAACTGATTTCCACAATGGTTTCACCACCCTGCATTCCCACCAGCAGTGGAGCAGAGTTCCTATTTCTCCACAGCCTTGCCAGCATTTGTTATTGGTTGATTTCTGAATGCTAGCCATTCTTACTGGGGTAAGGTGAAATGTCAGTGTTGTCTTAATTTGCATTTCTCAAATGACTAATGATGTTGAACATTTTCTCATGTATTTATTTGCCATTTGTATTTCCTTATCTGAGAAGTATGTATTCATCTCAGCTGCCCATTTTTGGATTGGGTCTTTGAATTTGGGGGGCTGATGTTTTTTAATTCTTTATATGTTCTAGATAGAAGACCTTTGTGCAAGGGATAGTCAGCTAAAACTTTTTCCCAATTTGTGCATTTTCTTTTTACTCTGCTGATGATTTCTTTAGATGTGCAGAAACTTTTCAGTAGAATGACATCCCAGTTGTTGATTCTTTGAAGTATTTCACTGGTAGTTTGGTTTTTGTTCATGGACTCTGCCTATCCCTATGTCTTCAAGGTTTTTACCTGCTTTCTCTTCCAGTAGATTTAGTGTTTCTGTTTTCATACTGAGATCTGTGATCCACTTTGACTTGAGTTTGGTGCATGGTGATAGACTTGTGTCTATTTTCAGTCTTTGGCAGGTGGCAACCCAATTTTTCCAGCATCATTTATTATAGAGCCTATCATTCTTCTGGTGAGTTTGTTTAGCCCCTTTTTTAAAGAGTAGGTGGCTGGGTGTGTTTTTGGTTGTGTCTGTTTCTTCCAGTCTGTTCCATTGATCCTGTGGTCTGTTTTTTAGCCAGTACCATGTTGATTTTATGACAGTAGCTTTGTAGTATAATTTCAGGTCAGGGATTGTGATTCCACATGACTTGTCTTCGTTGTCCAAATGGGTCTCTTCTAGTTCCAGATGAATTTAAGGCATATTTTCTCGAGATCTGTGAGGTATGCTAATGGTAGTTTGCTGGGAATTGCATTGAATCTGTACAGCAGCTTTGGGAGTATGGCCATTTTCACAATGTTGGTTCTTCCTATCCATGAGCCAGGAATGTTCTTCCATTTATTGAAATCCTCTTCAATATCTTTTTTCAGAGTACTGTAGTTTTCATTGAAGAGATCTTTTGCTTC